AAAAGTTAAGGTGTGACACATGATTTTTAGGTTGAAATTGTTTTTAGTTGTTGAATTAATTAATTAGTTTGTTGGGTTATTTAATTAGATGTGTGTATATAATAATAATAAAAAAGAAGGGTAGAGTTGAGAGAAAAAGAGTTGAGAGGTGGTTAAATTAAAAATGGGTGGTAAAAATTTTTTTTTGTAACTTTGGGCTCTTTAAAATTACAATCCAAATTTACCAAAGTTTTTCATCGTGAAATTTGCTCATTTTGTGGTACAGATTTTCCATTGTGAAGTTTGATCGATAAAGAAATTTTTTTTTTATATCTCAATTCTATGCAAACTTGCAAAGCAATATTTTGATTAATGGTGTTTTTTTTTTTTTGTTTGGGTCGGAAATTAATGGTGTTTTTAGTTAAGACTATTATATGGGTTGAATCACGTTATCAATATAGTGGGAGATTCTATTCTAAAACCCAAATTGACGGAGTCTGTACAATCGGGTATTCGGGTCGACCCGTATTACTCTTCCTCGCGGGCGAGTCCAGACTTGTTGAACTTTTAGTCACGAGTATTCGTCTACGTCTTTTGTCTTTAGCTTGGAGCTTGGAATCAGTCGAAAAAAGATGAGAAAATGTTTAACGAAGAGGGTGTTTCAGATTCAAAGTCCGATCCTGTTACTTCATCTCCTGATCTCCTTTTCTTCCGGTTAGTCTTTGGGCTCTTCATTTCCAATTTGATCTGTTGGTTACATTTCAGAATTTGGTGTCACAGGAATCGGATTTTATTACTCAAAGTTTCAATCTTTTGTATTGGCCTGCTGGATCATCTTGACTCATCTGATGCAAAGCAAAATTATTAGAAAAAAATTGTGTTGTTTCTTTGTTTTTGCGTTGATCCTCAGCTTGTTGTGCATACCGGTTCAGTGTTTTGTTAGCTTCATTTTGGGATTGTTCAATCATGAAAAAAGATGGAACTTTGTGATAAAAAAGAAACTTATGAAATCTGTTGAATTTGAGTGAAATGGTTAAGATGGTTGTAGAAGAATGTTTTCAGGTGCAGTGAAACCGGATTTGAAAGGAGTATGCATTTCTAAAGGAGGGAGGTTTCCGCCTTATGAATTAGAAGGAAAGCCTCCTAAATCTGTTGGTAGAGGATCCAAAGATCTTACTCTGTGTAGGGTGTTCCGTAAAAGGACTTGTTGCTCTTCTCTTCAGACCAACCCGGCTTTCGTAGCTGTACGAAACTTGGCTACTTACGGTGAAGCTAGTCAAGATTGCCTGCATTTTTTCGAGTTATTGGAGTGTTCAATCTGTAACCCTAATGTTGGAATCCAACCGGGTCCTCCTCGCATTTGTGCCTCGTTTTGTGACAGAGTCTTTGAAGCTTGCAAAGACGCGTACTTCGCCAGTAATGCTATTACACGGGTAAGGAAACTCTTCAGTGTTTAGAAGATTGTGTGTGGTAAACAAATGCAAATGCAAAGACGTTATTTTTGTAGATTTTTTGAATCTAATGGTTTCATTATGTGCTTAGGTGATTGGGCCTTGTGGGGTAAACGACGACATCATCTGCGTTAAGGCCTCAAATTGGGAGACCAATGGCACAGCTTTCTGCGAAGCAGCTGGATTTTCTGTTCAAACAACTGCAGATTCCAGAGAAGAACCATGTTACGGAAGCAAAGCGAGTCTAGAATCAGTAGTGGAATCATGGTCGAGAAACTCTCGAAAGAAGACACCTTTAAAGACTGAGACTTTATCTTGTTTTAAAGATCTTCTGCAATGGGTTCGCGAAATGACAACGATTCAGAAGATTTCTTTGGGATTGTCGTTTCTTGTAGCAGGAATGTTCTTAATCAGGTTTCGCCTCTCTCTCTTCCCTCTCTGAATACCCCTCTAAGTAACACTGTATCCTAGTAATGCTTGCTTTATGTGCTACAGGCAATGGAGTTACAGGAAGCAGAAGCAGCGACTAGCTGCAATTCAGAGGACCTCTAGAAGATTGGGAGGGAATGTGAACGGTGATTCATACAGTGCAGCTATAAATAGAAGAACAGTTCAAAGATGATTTCTTTTCAAGTTTTTTTCACCAATGAACAGGCTCTGATTGAGCTTCTTATGGAAGGATATCAGTCGTTGTAAAAGCCACTGTAATCAAAGTCGAGACCTTACAAGTGAAATTTTGCCAAGTGCGACTAGAACTGTGTTTTACCAAATTGTCTTTTTATGCTTATAAAAATTAAGGACAAGAAAATCAAACGTCTGTGAAGGATTAAAGATGAAGAAATGTGAGTTTGTAGAACAATAAAAAATAGTTAAACAAGAAACCAAATCTAAGAGAGGCACTATAGATAGATTAAACTAAAAAGGCTAAAAGAAGGAAGAAAAGAGACTATTAAGGAGATAAAATCTCCAGAAGCAGAAGACAGATCATTCTGCATCTATACACTGAAATCGAAGTGTA